GGGCCCGCTGGGCGCTGTCAGTTCACCGGGAAGCGTGGATGTGCTGATCCTTCTCGAACTGGGATTATGTTGGAGAATTTCTGGACAGTTGTTTGGTGGATTTGGTAAGCCTGCTGTTCATATAAGCGCTGTAAAGGAGGACCTATCCGTCTTGCATTTTCTCCATAATAGTGTTTTCCTTATAGCTGAGGGTTTGCTGTGGGCTCTCAAATTGCCTGGCTTTCTCCTTTCCCTCTTCTAGAGGGAAACCACAGGGGTTGGCACAAAATTTGCTATTCTTGTTTAGCTAAACAAAAGAAAAAGGCATTCCTTAGTTTTACACGCGGGGGGTCCCTGTTGGTCTCTTGCACAGTGTCTCGTGCACCCGAGGGAACACCTTTATGCTTCTAGGCCTTCTCTGTATGCAAAAGCACAGCACCAACTACACCCGTACAGCTTAAAGTGGTGCTTTTCTGGAGCAGCCCTGTGGTCTGGGGAAGGGTGTCGGAGGAACGCCAAGATCTACTGGTGTACACCTATGGGTGTGAAGATATCTTATACCTGAAGTCAGTACTACTCTGGTAAGCGGTGTTAAAAGCATGTTGAAAAAATAAAAACATCACCTTGAACTGCTGGAGTTATGTTGGCATAAAAATTTGGTCAGCCAGGATTTAAATTAGTGGTGCAGTATGCAGACCTCTAATAAACTTGTCACCGTGTTACTCATATAATTTTTAATTGAATAGTTGGATGTAGATCTTCACTTGAGTTTTTTGTGGGAGCTTAAAACTGAAGTCTGGGTAAAGTTCAGACTGTAGAGGCGTCTTGTTGTAATTCTGCAGTCCTGGGACTGTGTCACACAGCACTTGCGCAGTAATGTTACACAGCTCTTTCATGAAGACTTTTTTCCATAGAAATCACCTAGAGCTGTCTCAGTGCAAAACCCACCGTTGTGTCTTGTACACGCGTGTAGTATTGGCTGGCCACGTGGTTAGAGCTTTAAATTGAACAACACTGTAGTAAGTGGCAATGTAACAGGTGAGGCACGTTACTCTGAGAGCAGCTTTTTGTGAGAAGCAGCAGGATCCTCTCTGCTTCGTCTTGCTGGAAATGCCTCACTGAAGAGCTGGTAGATGGCTCTGTGGATCGATGCTATACCGATAGGTCGGTATTTCTCAGGCTGGAGGGCCTATCTGAACACTCTAGTCGTGGCCCCAAGCCTAACTGCTAGGCACGGTGCAAACAACTGTTTTCCAGGTTGTGCTTGTCGACTCGACACCCGGGTGAAAAGGTGGCATAGGCACTGAAGCGGGACTAAGTGAGAGGCTGCAGCTTTTACAAGTAGTGAATGCAGGTACGAATTGTTTTTAGTGAGCAGGTGTAGCATTCTGTACCTATACTTGTGGTATCTCAAAATCCTCAGCTTAGTTAGGGGAAAGAGCAGGGAAACTTCTTCCCAGAGACCTGGGGGTATCCACCCAGAAACAGGAGATTCAACGCCCCGTTTGCCTGCCCGTAGGCACGACTGCTCTGGCTAGTCCTTCCGGTGGCCATGGCGGGCTCCGGGGGCTGGGGTGCTTGTCCAGCACGGCAAATGCTCCTGCAGCTGGGGCCTGGCTCCTGCTCACCGGCGCAGCACCGCCAGTTGGAGCACTTCTGGCTCTGATTTAGTCTCACCAGTGTTCGTACGGCCAGTGCTCTCAGGACAGGAGTTTCCTGGCTTCGAACTGTCTTTGCCCAGTATCCGGGAGGGAGACCGTTACAGCAGCCTGTTCGGCTCGCTCTGGCCATTTGGGTAACTTGAAAGCGTTTCCTGGCGGGTGCTCGGGTACAGCGCCCTGGCCGTGTTCCTTGGATTGCTGATGGCAAACTGCCTCTCTTACCCACGTTTTCATTTGAGCTGAGCAGCATCTCTGTAAGTGGTCTCCTTCACCTTACCTGTTGGTCTGTGACTGCTTCATCTCATCCTGAGGACCCCTAATGTGCCTGCGAATCAAGACAGAGCAGCAAGCTGGTCCATCATCCTCTAAGCCATCTTCTCTGAGGAGGAGAGCTACTGCCTCTGCTGTTGGGAATGATTTAATGAATTTAGGACTGTGTGTGATGATCAGGGCAAGTGTGTGAGTAGCCATATCTTTATCCAGAGCCAAATGCTAGCCTTATCTCTATTTACATTATCTATTGTCTTACCCAGTTTGTGCTCTCTGAAGAGTATTTCTATGCTGATAAATACATAATTTCTTACTCAGGTGACAGGAGGTTGTAAAAATTCAGTATTACAAGAATTTCATGTGTGACGATGCCTCCTGTAATGTTATGGTGCATTAATTCATGACATTGCTATGTAGTGTTTAACTCAATGAGCTATTTGGGAAGGCTCTTTTGTACGGTGCATATTCATGTCTGTAGCAGTTTGTTGATACTGAACGTTTCTGGGTTTGGTTCTCCCGTAGTAAAACTTGTAGGTTCTTGGCGTTACGTTTAGGACGGAGTAGTCTGAGTGCTAGACAAGATGGTGCTTGATCTTGCTTCCTCTCCCAGCTTACCAGAAGCCCTTTGAACTTACGCTGTAGAATCACTTTTAACTGGAGCCATGAAAAAATTATTCAGGAATATGAACTACTCTGAGAACAAGGTGTGAAATTTATTATGCAGCTCTCGATATTTTGCTCCTGTTTTATAGTGCCAATGCAAATACCAGGTATGAATGCAGCTTCTAATGGCTGAACAGAGCTCCTGCCCTGGATCAGAGTTAAGAATGCTGAACAACTGACAGCTTTATTCTGTGCTTTTTTAGTTGAAAAAGCCCTGCTTTTTGGTGTTTCCTCCAGCTCTCAGGTTAACGTGAATCCCTTGAAACACTGTTACCACTGCTGTGTTGTTCTGGGTAGCTACCTGTTGATTTCTACACTAGACTTTTCCCCGTATGCAAGTACTGAAACGATTTTATCCATCAAAAGAACATTAGAGGTGTAAAAAGCAACTTTGATTTTATGTTGCTTGTGATTTTTTTTTTTTCCCCTCAAGTCTTATATCTCAACAGACCTTGTGAAGTTTTAAGTTTTGTTCTGTTCCACTGCAGACAAATGGATTTCACATCAGTTTGAAACAGAAGCTTAAAAATGTCCTGACGGATCTTACTGTGCGTGCCCTCTTTTAGAGAAACTGCTGTAGAAAATAAAACATAGTTGAAGGGCATGTTTGCCTACAACGTACAGAAACTAGGGCTATTTACTTTAATTGTTTTTTTCTTCAACTTGGATTTTATGGTTTTTTGGTAGTGTACACGTATGCCATCACAGTTGGTGGATTAAAATGTAATTCAGTGTATTCATAGACTTCTGTTGTTGTGATTAACTTTTGTTTTCTTACCGAACAAAGAAAAACGCTCATGATTTTGCCTTTTAAACTTGAGCCATGTATTTGTGGAATACAAGCAGCAAACCAGGTTATTTGCAGGTGTCTTGTACGTTCCTTCAGTGGATACAGCCCAGCGTGGAGGGATTCAGACGCTGTGAGGGAGCGATGTTCTCTTGGCTATTAGCGTCGCATAAAGATGCGACAGAACCGGCCGTCCTGATCTGTGAGGTTCTTAGAGGCGCAAGCCCGTTCTGTGTGTGGCTGAAGCGGTTCTGTCTTTGAACTGGCGTCGCCGCGGCCCTTCGAGAGTGCAAGGATGCTTCCTGCAGCCAGGTCCCTTGGTAGGGTTTGAATGCAAAAGCCTAGGCTTTGTGGAGGTTGATACTATTTTAGAAAAAGCTTTTTACCTGTCACATGCGTGAGAACTTAACAGGCTTTTCTTTGAGTCCTGGCTGAACCAAAAGCACAGATGTCACCTCGTTCAAATTCCTTTGGTCAGCAGTGGAACTAGCGGAATCAGATCACCTGTAAGCAGTGGCGGGAAGGGAGAGGCGAAAAGCAGTTACTGACTAAGGGGTAACTGTGGGAATGCCCTCTTGGGGGGGCACAAGGAATTTTGGGCAGGGATGCTTCAAACTAGTGGCGTGCTGCTTGCCTGGCTGGCAGCCGCATACAACCTTTGAGCAAAGCCCAAGAGCAGGGTTTTGGTGGGAATCCTCAGCGCTCTGGTCCAGGCAGTGTGGGCTGAAGGGCGTTACTGTTTGCCACAGACGTTATCCTGGAGAGCGGAGCCCTCCTACGGCTGTGAGCTGTCCAGGAAATGTTGGTGACCAGTATGCAGAGCCGATCTTTACATCTGAGCTGACTGAAAACTGACTGTAGAAGAGAAGGAAAAAACGTATAGTCAGAGTTGACAGATCACCTCTAGCATTCTTTTTTTTTTTTTTCCCCGCCTAAACTGGGGAAGCTTACGCCCCCAGATGGGGGGGAGCTTCAGTCTGAGACCAGAAAAAAATACTTGGGGAAAAAAGACCAACTATTTTATCAATTTTTATTTTTACTCTTTCACCAAAGTATCTGATACCAGTCACTGTCAAGGATGGGTTATTGAATTAGAATTATCAAATTTGGTACTTGATGGGGAGAGGCAAATTTTCATTTTAAAATTAATGCTGTATCATCAGATGTTCATTGGAAAGATTTAATCATTACAGTTATTTAAGAATCTGCACAACGTAGCTTTTCCCTTAGAGAAATTACTCTGTGTTTTAAAAGTAAGTTCACCTCCCGTCTCTTAGGACGTCTTCATTACAAAAGGTGGCTTGGATACCACACGAACTTGATCAAAGGCTTGCAGATCTGAATTTGTCCTTTTCCCCTTACCCTAAGGGTAAGACTTACTGAAAAATTTGTTGCATTTGTTTTCCCTTGGTTTTCTCTTGTATATTTTAGTGAGAAAGATAAATACAATTCTATCTTCCCTTTTAACTAGAGTTAAAGTTGAGATATTTTAAATGGATTGCATTGCGTTACAGCGTGTACAGTTGCAGCGCAAGGTATTTGTTGCCTGCTGACTACAAGATTAAAGGTTGCAGGGTGCTCTGGCTTCTGTATTGCACACTTACAACAATAATAGACTGTTAGAGCTCGGCTTCTAGAAATAGCCCTTAAAAGTGCAGAAGGCTTGGAACCTGTTCCTGCTTGAAGTGTGGGGGTTTAGCGTGGTGAAAGAAGAGCTATAATAGGAGAATAAAACCCCAGCAGTAATTTCATCTCTTGCTGCCCTGTAGTAGGCCTTCAAAGAGTTGTCCAGTCACTTAGAATGTGGAGTGTCTCGTCCACGTTGGCAAGTGTCTGCGCAAACATTCATCAAACACAGAGAAAGGGCTTTGGCACGTCTTCACTAAAAATAAACTCATGTTTGACCAGTAGGAATACAGTTACTCCAGAAAAAGATTATGGCTGGACAATGTGATTTATTGCATCTTAATATAAATCTGAAAGCTATACTGATTCGTGTCGTTAGCTGCTTGACTCTTGGCAAATTCGATGGGTTTTTTATAAAGGTTTTATATTGCTACTATTGCTTAGGGAGCCCTAAGTACAGGAATATCTCATGTGCATATATAGATTTAAGTTTTATCATAAAAGTGATTTAAACTGCTATTTTTTTTTTATTTAATAAATTGCATTCTCCTTTTATGTGACAACATGCAAACCTCGCTACCTTTTGTGGTCCTGGGCATCGATGGCGAAGCCCTTGTGAACCTCCTCCTCGACTTTCTGTCATGTCAGTGCTTTTGGAGTTTACCTTCGCAAGAGTGGGGCAGAACAAAGCCTTTTGAGGTTTTACAGAGTGCTCACTATTTAAAAGGGCTATGCATACTTACGTGTATGTGTTAAAAAAAAAAAAAACAAAACACAAAACCAACCAAAAAACCAAAAACACAAACAAAACCCTAGTGATGAAAGGCGCCCGCTTTGCCTAGGAAAGCGAAGCAGAGGCCGTAGTGTGACTGCCCTGTGGTGATGCCGCAGCCCGGCTGCGCGGGAGGAAGCTGGTGGCTGATACAGAAAATCAGCCATGGGGCTGTTTGATCTTCATTTGGGATCTCATTCAGTGGTCTGCTTTAATACATCGGAGTTTACAATATATTTTTAAAAACAAACTAAAAGTGCATTAGTCATTTCTGGCAGTGGTTCCACGTGGCTTTGTCAGCGTAAGTCATTTTTGTGAAAGCTCGAGCTCGGTACTGCAAGGTGCTGAGTGTCTGCTGTGGGACTCCAGTGCGCACGAGTGGATCTTTGCTGGACCTGCTCCGGTGGCTTGGCCTTTACCTGGAACCACTTCCGAAAAGCTGAGTTTCGGAAACACGTTTGTAGCGAAAGGTCCAATGTGAGAACGGTACTCAAGAGACTGAAATAAAGCAGCAACACACTGCAACTTCAAAAGTGGTATAACCTAACTAGTATCGCTGTGTTTAAGCCTGCAGCGTGTGCTGAAGCTCTGGCTTCGGCTAAGTGTTGTAGATATAGGGTTGTTTTCCTTTGGTGGGGATTTTTTTTTTTTTTTAAAGGCATCTTAAATTTAAGGGTATTGGTCTGTTTAGTATATTATTTGAGTATCGGTTTAAGCCAAATGTGATGCTCTTGTATTTTTTTTTTTAAAGGCATAACTCTGAAGCTGGTATCTTAAGTACCCTTACGAATAACTGTTCACGTTCACTGTCAGCAAGCAGCAGAAGATGGACTTTGACTTTCAGGGCAGATGAATTTGTGCTCTGAAGCGTTAGTTCTTTTTTCTAATGATCATGTAATTGGACGCTAGTTATCCTTTGGAATGGAAAGCTTGAGCTCATACGCTCCTAAACCACTTGGGTTTTGGCTGAGGATAGCTTATCACGTTGAGAGAGGGGTTTGGTTTTTTTTTTTTTTTTGGCCTTTCTTCCCCATACTCCCTGAGAAGGAGCCATGTACTTGGAAATTACAGCAATGAACAGAATATCCAAGTTTTTATTAGAATGCAAGGTAAACTACAAGTGAAATCTTTGTGCCATGTAAGAAATCCAATCCTGACTTAAAAGTCAGGACTTTTATTTACAAAGCTGTAACGTTAGGAGCCTTTTTGCTTTGAACTGAATTTGGATCGAGTGCAAGAGCTGTATGATTGCTCCCTCCCGATCAGCAGTTAGTTTTGTGTAACTAATACCCTTGGAATACTGAACGTGCTTCTCCTCATCAAAAAATATCCTTGGGAATCCCTCTGTGCTGATAAATTGAACTATCACAAGTTCTCCATCCCGTTCTGCGCTGGAGCGAAGGATGCCTCTTGGCCTGGGCAGGAGGCCTGGAACTGCAGAGCGCTCGCCTTGGCTACTCGCTCCCCGCCTGCCTCCAGCTACATTACTTACCCTTTTTTTTTAGCTTCAGTTGCTGCACCTGTGAAATGGAGACAGAGCCTCTTCGCAGGAATGTTTTGCAAATTATGTAGGTGGGGTTGAGCACCTTCAAAGTGAAAAATCTCTAAAAACCCCCCACTTTAAAGATATTTTGGTGTGTAACTCCCTGCAGTGATGGCCCAGCCTAGTTCTTGGCTGCCATCGAGAGGCACCTCAGGAGATCCCGTTCCTGGCAGCGGGGTCTTGCTCCCGCCCTGCGCTCGCTGGGCTTTCTGTTGGATCCCTCGGGTGGGACTGGACGCCTGGTGGGCATCTAACGGCCCGTTCTGCCACGCCGGTGGAGGCAGTTACTCTATCAAACTTGGTAGCCGTGGGCTTTATTTAGGTGTCTCAGTTGCCCTTTTTGAGTAGGTGTAGCATGCTCCTATTCAGAGGAGATTTTTTTTGCTTTTTAAAAAACAAAACCTGGTTTAAATAGGAAGGTGCCCCATCTTACAGCTGTACATGAGTTTGCTATGCCCTTCAACGCTCTCTCCAAATATGCAGTAAGAATACCCATTTTTTATTTCTGTGATTGCTTTGTTGGCAGGATTTTTGTGATGATTTGACTCAGTTTTGTTACAATGTACCTAGAATGAAGGTGAGTTTAAAGTAAAAAAAAAAAAAAAAAGAGAGAGAAAGTAAGTGTTGGTTTCAGTGTCTAACTGTCCCAGTGGGTAGAGAAAGTCCAATTGCTTGGGAAAATTATAAAAGGTACTGATTTAAAAATATTGACGGTATTGATTATTGATTTTTTTTTTTTTTTGTCCAGTAAAACATTTCTAGTTACAATATTGTCTGCTTTCACTAGAACAAGTTGAAATCATCACAGAAGGATAAAGTGCGTCAGTTTATGGTCTTCACACAGTCTAGTGAAAAGACAGCGGTGAGTTGTCTGTCTCAGAATGACTGGAAGTTAGATGTTGCAACAGACAACTTTTTCCAAAACCCTGAACTTTATATACGAGAGAGTGTTAAAGGATCATTGGACAGAAAGAAGTTAGAACAACTGTATAACAGATACAAAGGTGAGTACCCTGAGTTTTAAGGCTTACTTCCTAGTTGTATGCGTGTATTCTTAATTACAGTGTGCCACTGCGGCTGTGCTCTTGTGCTTGGAAATCTTAACTGACTCTTTCAGCTCTGTTTTTCTTTTACTAATAATACAAGTTAGAAGGGGAATATGTGTAGGCTTCTGCTTCACAAGGACTACATGTGGTTGCGTTATGTGCTCTGAATATATGTGCGTTTATATAAGATATGGGACCAGAAGTGGAGTTGGGTGTTCAGTGAGGAAATGTAATGGTTAACGTGGATTTGAGGTGATTCTTCTGGGGAAAGCATCACTCGGGACTCGTCCTGACAAAGTGAACAGTTGCATACCAAGGATGGATTCTACCTTAATTTTTGTTCACCTTGTGCTTATTATCAGATAGCTACAAACAGAGTGGAAAAGAAAACAAAGTCTCTTCATCTGTTATATAGCCACTGTTCAGCTGATGATATCCTGCCACAAACAGTACAGTAGAACAAATTCTGTGGTTTAGCACTTTAAAAAAATCTAAAAATGAGTGCTACATTTTCCGTCAGTTTTCATACATGTGCATAATCCAAATACCATTTTCCTGAAATCTTTGTTGGCTTGCAGTAGTAGATTTTTGTTAGCGCACTTGAAATGCGAGCATCTCGCTTCCAGCGCCGTTGCCGATTCCTTCATGGAAGGAGGAGTGTGCCTGGCCGACTGGGAATCGGTGTGGGGCAACATAGCTTTCCTCTTGGAGGTCACCGCGTCTAATCTCATGCATGCTGGTGATGCCAGAAAATGCGTAAAACTAATGTCGCCTTGGTAGTTTGTGGGCAGGTTTGATATTTGTGTCAGTTCAGCTTGCAAATGGACACTGCAGAGTTGATTATAATGGTACGCAGAGCAGCAGTGTTGCCAAAGATGCCAATAATTAAGTGTGCTGGTGGGAAAGGAGCACTGTGCTCTGTATGGAATGAGTCAGAATATCATGCGTATTACTGGGCAGAAAACAAATGTTTGTGGTGCTTTTTTCTCTCAATGAAAATAACGTAAGCTTCATTGTATGGGAGTCTTTGTTGTAGTAACTTCCTCAATTGTTAAAGCTTAGCCATTGAAAATACTAATTTAATTTTGGTTTTAAAATAGTCATTTATAAAGGCTGATCCCAAAAATGGCTTCTTGAAAATGCTTGCTTATCTTAAGTACTCATGTCAAATAAATAGTCTTTTTCAAAAATCTGTTTTTCTTGATACTTGCTTTTATATCCCAAAGATCCTCAAGATGAAAATAAAATTGGTATAGATGGTATACAGCAGTTTTGTGATGATCTAGCTCTTGACCCAGCCAGCATTACTGTACTCATCATTGCATGGAAATTCCGAGCCGCAACACAGTGTGAATTTTCAAAGCTGGAATTCATGGATGGAATGACCGAGCTGGGGTAAGTGTGCAGTAAGTATGAAGACACTGACAGCGTAGTCCAGAACGTGTGGTCAAACAGCCCTGTTTTGGGGGGTTCAGAATCACGTTGTCCTTTCAGGTTTCAGAGCCTTTTCAGAGTCTAGCAGAACTCGTCTGCCTTTGTAACAGGACATCCCCTGTCTGTGCTGGATGCTTAGCGACCAAAAAGAGGGAGGCAGCTTTGAATGCTACTTGCCTTGCTTGTGTGAGGATTTCGGTGGCTTGCTGTACAGCTACTTGAGTAGGTGAAGCAGGGATGTTGGCCCGCAGTCTAGCAGACCTGGGTCTTCTCTGCCTTACGAGAATGTAGTGGTCTGTATCGCGTTTGTGTAAAAATCTCGTGGATTATAGGATCTGAGGTATCAAGCTAGCATGTGCAAATGGCAATGTGAAGAAAGGCATTTATTTGGTGATGTAGGTGCAGACTAATTAAAGGCTTCCTGAATTTTGTTCTAATAATTGTATTGTTTTCCACAAAAAAATTATAAATTTTTTATAAATTTTTATTTCATTTTGCCATAAAATACGAGGTATGAATTAATAATAAAAAATAAACATGCTTTTTAAAATGCAGATGTGACAACATAGAAAAACTGAAGGCCCAGATTCCTAAAATGGAACAAGAATTAAAAGAGCCAGGAAGATTTAAGGATTTTTATCAGTTTACTTTCAACTTTGCAAAGAATCCGGGACAGAAAGGTTTAGGTATGTATTCTTAATCGCAAACATTTGCTTGTAAATATGGGAAATGACTGATTAAAACAGTAAGTGAAAATATTACCATGATCCAATGAGTCTGAAAGATAGCCACCCTTGGGATAAAATACATCTCTGTTGTGAAAGATAGATACTGATTTAAAGTGTTCAGATTGATAGAAATACCTGCATCGTTAGTATAGACTACAAAATTTTACGTGAGAGGGTTTATTCTTTCACTGCAAGTGTGTGCGGTTTTCAGCAAGCACAATGGATTATGGCCTTATGTTAAAGGCATAATTGCATGACTTGGAGAACTTGCAGCACTGAACAGATCAATTGAATTTTCGCTTTTAGGATCAATTTAAGCTGTAGAACTGGTTTCCATGTAAATACATTTGTACAGTCTCTTGTAACGCCAAAAATGCTTGCAAATGTCTTGGCAACATAGAATTGGAATTGTACAAATAGATTTGTGTATCTTGGGCTTGATGCCTGTCGTTGTTGTGCTGTTGGTAATAGGTGCCTACCTACAGCCTCTTCTTTTTTTTTTTCCCCTTTTTTCCCCTCAGCTCACTGAATGCTTTTTTTTTCATTATTTTAGAGCTCTCCTGCTGATTATGCTTTTGATTAGTGTAACAGGTGAAGTGGAAGAATCATTATTAAAAGTAATTTTTTTGGCAAACAAAAACCAACACCAGAAACATGACAAAACACCACAGTTCAGATGGAACTAAGTGAACAAACTGTAGATCTGTCTATTCAAAACAGCAAAAATGAGGGAACAAAAATGTCTTTAAAGCAGTAATGTTAACCAACCGGAAAGCACATTCATTTGTGTGCGGTGTAGTTGAGATGTTAACCATAATCAGTATTTCATGGCCGTGTAACTGTTAACTTCTTAGGTTAATTGTTCTGCTTTTGAGAAGAAATAAAATGCTGAAAAGCCAGTAGGCTCTTCCGTGGCAGCTTGTGAATTTATTCTTCTCAGTAATGAAAATGCCTTAAACTGACCTCCACGGACCAGCTTTGCATTCAGGCACTGTGAAGAGATGAGCACTCTGCTTTGGTGGTGCTGTCTCTTATATGTGGACCAAATTTTGGCTTAAAATGAATAATGAAAAATAAGTAAATAAGCAAAAGCTCCACATCTTGGTTTGGGCTCTGTCGTTCTTTAACATCTTCCTGTATCCCGTCTTTTGTTTTCAGTTGGATTGTGAGTTTCATTGTCTTTGAAGAAGCTAAAAGAGCACTGCTAAACTGTTTAAAAATACTTGCACGTGCGTGTAGTCAGATCTGAATCCTGCAAATAAATGAAAGGGCTGTTTCTTATTTCTTGCAGAAAGTCATACTCAATTTTTTTTAGGCTGCTACAACGAGGAAAACGTGGACAGTGATTGCATTGAGAGAGGATAGAAGTTAGGGTATGGAGAGTGTCAGTGTGGAGTCAGTTCTGCAGTGCCAACGATTGGGTTTGTTGCCTGGGGTTTTTTACGGTTACTGTTGTAACATTTGTACCTTGTTCTTAATCTTTAAACAGCTTCACACATTTTGCAGAATCCCTGTAAGGTGGTAAAAGTGAAAGGACATATCACAATGATATCATAATTACATTATCATTTTTAATGATATTTTCTCGAAGCTTCAGAATAACAGAACTGTTTGATGCAGCACTTGTGTCTTATTTTCTTCTCCATATTTCTGAGGTATAAGGGAGACTTGCATTCTTTTTCTGAATTTTTTTTCCCCCTAGTCCTGTATGGAAATGCATCTTTTGAGTATCCCAGATGGAGCAGGCTTCAGTAAAAATTATTTACTAGGAAAACTAAGTCCCTTGCTTTATTTCTCGTTCATCTTAAAGTTTCTTTATGCAGGTTAAGCTCTAGCAGTGACAAAGACAAGCATAGTTTTCTCAGATTCATATAGCATACACATAGTGTAAGTTGGTTTTTTTTGGTTTTTTTTTTTTTTTTTAAAAGTCTGAGTCTGGAAGTGATGTAGAACTAAGTTTAAAATCTGGATGTTTACCAACCCTTTTGGTGCCAAGAAATGCACAGTTCTAGGCATGAATTAACAATAGTGCAGAATAATTCTGGAAACCCTGAAGAAAAAGAATATTGAGAGAAGTACGGTGCTGAAAAGGAAGTGCTCCTAGTTAGGCAGTTGGCTTTGGAGTGTCTAAACAGCTGCTTGTAGGAACTTGTAAATTGATTTTAATGTATATTGGTCTCTAATCTTCCAAATGTTGTGTAGTAGTTCAGGCACTGTTCTGCAAACGCATTTCCTCTGCACAATTCCTTACTACCATGTAAGTACTGTGGATGTCTTAAAAGTTCCCGTGATATTTGCTTATCGTTTGAGAACACCTTTTAGCTGGTGTTCATCTCAGACATTCTCTGCTTCTCTTGCACCTCTGGATAAAACTCAAACTGGAGCACGTATCTTGATACTTTCATATTTGATCCATGAGGACTGCCCTGAGCATTCTTTCACTTCCTTATGAAAACCTAAAATTCTATCTTTACTTTGGATTTTGTGATGTCATAAAATTTCTTTTAAAACATGCACTTTGTCCTAAGGCATCACAGCTTCGTGCTTTACGTGTCTGGACTCGCGTAATGAGTTTGAGGTTGCAGCATCCCGAGATCTGTCTTTTAAAGGCCCTTGCTTACCCACAAGAATAATCTCAAGATTGTGCAAGCACGCTGAAAGGCGCCGTTTGTGTACAGTGTTTGTTTATAAACCACTGTAAATGTGCAGCGATTCGGTGACCTTGCACTTTTTGGTATGCCTGCTATGAATGCATCCCAAGGAAATAAAACCTAGGTTTCTAATCTGTTTCCTGGAGGAACCGATCAGCTTCACCTGAAGTTTGTGTCTGTTCACTTTTAGGCAGACAGTAGTTTTAGCTGAAAGCTGAAGTGCGCGGGTTTGCACCTGAACCTTCTGTCAGAGAGCAGTACCTAGCCTTTACACTCGTTAGTAAGCGGTCCCTTTCGCATACCACTTCTTTACTGCGGGGTACTGACTGCTGTTTCGTTAGCCTCTGCTCCTTGGAACTCAGACTTGCTTTTGGCTGAATGCACATCCCTTTGCAGCTGTGGAAAGCCCTCCACAAATTTTATTCTTTACTTTGGTCAGGACACATTATAATGTGAATGTGCTGTTTGAGAAGAACTTTTAATATCAAAGATACTAAACAATTCATAAATCCCCCCATCACCATCTATTTTCCCTCCAGCAATGCAGAAGTTCATACTTTGTTTTGTTTGCTGTTGATTTCAGCTCTCAAAATCCACCTCCCTGGTTTTTTAAATAGTTTGGGCATCTGGGGCAAGGGAGTGGTTTTCTTGGGTTGTGTCAGGTTTTCCCTTTTTCTTTTTCCCTGAGGCGCAGTTGATCACGTGCTTCTCTCTGCTCTCGCAAGAGGAGTGTTTGTGGAGGCAGAGATTTGCTAGACTGCCAAATATTGCAGAGCTTTTGTTAAAAAAAGAGGACACAACGGGGTAGCCCGTTGAGGTTGCTGCGCGTACTTGGCGGTGGATGCTGAATTCGGTCAGACGAGGGTCAGCAGCAACGAGCTGTGCAGCACAGAGCTGCTCGTGGCCGCCTGGTAAGGGAGGTGGTGCTAGGCAGAGATTTGGAGCTCAGCTACGGCGCTGACTCTTACCAGCTAACGCGTTACTGTATGCCACTAATAAACAGCACGCGCGCATCCCTTCAGCCTTGGGTGAGGCTTGGGGTTGTGTCCTCATGTGCCAGCCTAACCAGTCTCTCTTTCTGCTCCGCTGTAACAGCACCGCCGCTGAGGGCAGCACGCCGTTGCCTGACCCGCAGGAGGTTGTTCCTGAACTCTGTCGGCTCAGGTTTCTCAGGCGTCCTGAGAAACAGATTCAAAACAAGCAGGAACTTAACAGGAGTCTTTGAGGGGAACCCCAACCCACCACCCCCATCCCCAAAAAAACCCCAGCCCAACCAAAAAAGGACCAAACCCAAACAAACCGACTATGAATCATCTGCTTGCACAGTACCTAAAAGATGTTTTCAGAAGGGAATCTGACTGCAGAAATGAACACTGACAAAAGCCGTGTTACAACACCAGCACACGTAACAAGGTTGCTCTAAAAATGAAATAAATAAAAAGTAAATTGTATTTTATATATTAAACAAATGAAAGCAGATCTTACCTCAAAATACTACAGCTTTTCTTTTCTAGTCAGTAGTATTTCTAAGACAAAAATATTCCCTGAATTTTAGCTAAAATATTGTTAGATAGCAAAAGGCACATGAAATATCCTTGCATGTTTTGGATGTGTTAGGTATTATATGGGTAATTCTCAGTTCTTCTACAGTCAAGTGATAGTATCAAAATTTGTGTAACACTTTATGGTTGCCTTTTTGTAACGGATCCATGATTATATTTGCATTTATGAATATATGGTTCATCTTGGTGTTAGATACCTGTGGAGATGATGTATTTGAAATGTGTCTCTCTGAGAGTAATCTATTTTAATATTACAGATTTAGAAATGGCCATTGCCTACTGGAATTTAGTACTTAATGGAAGATTTAAATTTCTAGACTTGTGGAACAAATTTTTGTTGGTAAGTTCAAATCTTTACTGCAGTAATTTCAAAACTGGGAAGATAAATAAGTTTAAATTATTGAGTAGATGAAATAGACTATTTTGATCCAGATACTGCGCTTTGTTCTGTACAAGAGTAATCTGTTTGGGGGATGGGGACGTGTCCAAGACAGTAAAAATAAATGTGCATAAGGGGTTTTGATTTATGTTTTTTTAAAATATAAATTTTCTACCCCTCCAAACAGGAACATCATAAAAGATCAATTCCTAAGGATACCTGGAATCTTCTTCTAGACTTTAGTACAATGATAGCAGACGATATGTCTAACTATGATGAGGAAGGTAAACACTTCCATTTTCTGTCATTAACTTCTGTGTTTTGTGCTGCACTTACACTGTGTGCCTGCTTTGGCACAGCTGTCTGATAACAGCGTAACTGGAGTGGCACCGGTGATCCAAGGTCCTGCTAGAGCTGCTTTAGTGCATGCTGTTATCATCTGTTTAAAAAAGAAATGCTGAAACTTTCTTAAACCCTGTATGAGCTCAGATACTAATTCTTTATTCTTAAGACAAGCCCCGATATTTGTCCATTTAAAACCCCACAGATTCTCTGTCAGCGTAGTCCTTGGCTTCGTGGCCTGCACGTTCCTTGGCAGGGTCCTCTGGTTATTGCATTTCTCAGCTGAGACTGTTCTTCAAGTCTGGTTGTTTCGGTTCATGTGAAGATCAGACATGTAATAATGCTACAGTGACGCTGGCAGCGTGCAGGGGTTACTAACCATAAGTTATTTCCTACCAGATGTGTTTCTTGTAAACTTTTGTATTGATCTTTCCTCTTCCAGTCCATCTGTAGCCAAGAACAGCTAATTACCTTCAGTCGTTGGCGGCAGATCAGTTCAGTGAGTGGAGGAAACTGTAAACTTCTGACAGAGCAGAGGGGAGCAACCTTCTACAACTTTGCTAAACAATTATGGACAGTTCTCATTCCCTTATCATTGAGCAAATGCGCTGCTGCCCACCGTAAACCAACGTAGTTTAGAAAGATTAAAGGCAGAAAACATGTTTTAACGATTTGGAATAAAAATATTTTAAGGGCGGGGGGGGGAACCCAGTCCACAATTAGTTTTAACCTTCACGTGACTGGGGACCTCTTTGGATATGGCTGCCGATAATATGTAAAATATTGATATGCATTTTAACTGCCTCTTGGTAAGGAACGCAGAAGAGTATACACAGTGTAGTACCAACCTTCTAGGGCCTTAGCCAGCAGTGCAGTACATCAGGGCATTTTCACGGTGTTTTTTCAGGTATGGCCAAGTACGCTGAGTCTGACCCATGAGCATCACGCAAGGTCAAATCGGGAGCAGTAAGTGCTCTAGTACGTTACGATGTGGCGCTGCTTACGGCGTGGGCTGCTTCGTCCCGTGTTCAGTGTTTTTAAGCAGCTATTGCCATCCTGGAGATCAAGTTCTGGTGCCAAAACCAGGACAGTTTTAAGCTAGAATTTTTGTCAGCTTTTTTTCTCTTCTTCTGTTTTCGGGCAGGAATTAAGTACAGCCCTTGAAAGGGATGTGCATTAACTGGGCTTAAAGGAAGTAGAAATCTTTTAACCAGTGCTTAGATATCAAGCAAGAAAATCAAATTCAGTTTTTTGCTTGAAGCTCTGCCTGGTTAAGGCTGGAAAGTAAATAACTTGTTTAGATCTGAAGCTTTAAAAAGAATGCCTTGTTGACCCAAGTTCTCATCTTCTGGTCTCTTTTTGTTTTTTTCTTTTAGGGGCATGGCCAGTTCTTATTGATGACTTTGTGGAATTTGCACGCCCTCAAATTGCTGGGACAAAAAGTACGACAGTGTAGCACTAAAGGACCCCTCTAGAATGTACATAGTCTGTACAAATACCTGCAATGGAAAATTGCACAGTCAATTTCTGCTGGCTGGACTGAACTGAAGATCAATCCTCACAATATGGCTGAGGGTTGAGACAAACCTTTAAGGATACATCTTGGACCATATCATACTTCATTCTTCTACTGGTGGTTTGGGCTTTTCTTCTAGTCTGGACCACTCTTGCCCATTAAAATTCCAACATTGTGGATTTCATCACGGAATTTTTTTTTTTTTAATTTTTTTTTTTTTTGGTGGACCACCCTAGTTTCATCTCCCACAAGTCCTAGGAGCTTTATGATTATTTTGAGGTTTCTGGTTTCACATAAAGCACAACGCTGGTCATCATCAGACAACTGTTGTATGACATCTGAATTATACAGATCAACATCAAAACAATTTTTAAAAGAATCCTTAAATATACACTTGGGGCTAGTTGCAAAGACTGCGTCGATAGCACTTCCTGTAAGAGTGATATATTTAAGTGTACTGGGATACGACTTGGTTTTTCTTTTTTTTTTTTTTTTTTTTTTTTTTCTGGAAAAGTACAGGTATCGTCCAGGTGAGCTTGAGTATCTGGCAGAAGCAATCACAGACATAACCAGCAAAAGCCAAGGCTGTTGGTACTGGGGTGTCCGGGTGCCCGTCTGAGCTGGCTGGGCGAGCAGCTGGAGTGCGACACAACTGAAGCACGCGTGTGTAACGCTGCGGTCAGCCTCCGCTGCGCGCCGCTGAGAGACGCTGCGAGCGTCGCGACAGAGCCCGGGGTGCTCGAGGTTCTTACCTGAGGAACCCGATTCCATTACCATTTCGAAATGCTTATCTGTCTGTCAAAGAAAGGCTTCATTTCTGTGGAAACCTAAAACTTGAATACACTGAATTTGTGTCTTACGCTTGCTACACAGTGCAGTATTTTAAACCGAGACAGGGAATTTTTATGCTTGAGGTATGATGAAGCAAACGGCCCTGTTGCACAAGAAGCCGGTGAGTTTGGTGTGAACCTAGGTTTTAAAACCATTATCCTGAGAAGTGAGTTACGCCTTTGTAGCACATAGGTACTGCCATTGTGGATGACACCCATTTTTTAATTCTTCTGTTGAGTTTTCCTTAAATTGATGCATCGCTGTGGTTGCCAAATACAGAAATTGAGAGTAAAGCTTTCCCAAACCAGCACAGATCAGCTATGAGATACTACACTGGCTTTGTTGGCTTAAATTATTTTGTCGATCCATCACTACAGTTTATTGTTTTACTGCATTTAACTGAATCAGTTGTTCTGGTCAAAGCAGGTTTTATCAGATGCAATTCTTCTTTATTTTTAATATTACGAGAGCTCTTGAGCTGCTTTTGTCCTAAACGTGGTCTTTTACTCCTCACTTTAAGTTCCTTATGAAGAGATTTGATAAACACTGCTCTGTAGAACAAGCTGGGAACCACCAAGCTCCGGGAACAGACGACTGTAGTTACCAGGCAGGAGAGGGTGAAGCCCGTGCCCTGGACAGCCCCGTGGTAAGGCCCAGTTATTTTGAAAGGAGCGATTGGCGCTTGCGTTGAACAGCAGAACACTTTTATGCAGATACTAAAAGTATTTTAGGAAAAAATTGACTATTAAAGTGCTCGGAAAGCTTGCATGTGTTCCCTGAAGCTGACGGTGAGGCGAGCTCCCCTGCCAGCGCGTGCGCGGTACGAAAACCCAGCGGTGCGTTTGCTTCAGGGATGCAGCTCCCCAAACCCAGTGCTGACTGGCGCCAGCTACCAGGACTGGCCAAAAGGCGCGTGGTTTGCCCAGTTTTGTGTAAATATATACGGGGACTTGAATTTGCGGGGGTGCGTGTGGAAAAAAGCTCTGCAGGGTATCTGTGCGTGCTGTTTCCTGTCTCGAGGGCTCTGGTGCAGCTTCAGATGGACAAGTTCACGTCCGTGTGTCGGGAGGGGAGGGGGGCCTGGCTTCTCATCCCAACACAGACCTGTCCCTCGGGAAGGTCTGAGCTTGGGTGGTGGCGTGGTGCCCCAGGGTTTTAACGAATATTCCTTTTGGATGCAAGATCCTTTCAACAAAATAGTGTTGTCATCAGTGTGGTACTACATGCTTATAATTACTGTGTAATTATAAAGAAATGCATAAAACTTTGACTAATTATGGTGCAGGAAAGGGTTATTTGTGCTGTGATGGCATCCTCAGTGTTTTTCAAAACGAGTGACTGAAGTTGAAAGCGACATCGCTCTGACGGGGGGTGTCCTGAGGGCAAAACGCCTGGCAGCATCGCGCCCTGCTCAGATGGGGCCATGGGGATTTTTCCTTTATGTATTTGTGTGGGTTTTCTTTTTTTTTTTTTTTTTAAAGAATGCAAGCAGTTGCTTACTTGGGTCGCTTTAACGTGTAAGTGCTTATCTCTTCCATTTGATGATCTCCCCTTCAGTGGATCAATTTAATTTTGCCAAATGTCAAGAAAAAGAAAGGTGAACATCAACTTTGTAACCTGCTTTTATACATTAAAGATGTACACAATGAGAAGTGCCCTGATATAAAACACTTAAGCTCGAGATTATATTTAGTAGAAAAAAAAAAAGAAATCATTCCCGTCTCTGTAAGTTGAAGTGTAACTGCTTACAGTCCCTCTCGTGACAGACAGAGGCAATAAAGCTCCAGTGAAATCGCCGTGGCTGAGGCTTCTCAGGCAGCGTGGCAGTGTGTTATTTGTGCCGGCGGCTCTAGGACGGGGGGCCCAGCTCCCCCAGCTCCCCGGCGGGGAGGGGGCTGAGCCTGGGACGAAGCCGCCACGCAGGGCGGTCCCTTCGGCGTGCCTGACGTTGGACGTGGCGTTTCTGTTGATCACCCTGTTGATAAGTAACGTACGATTGCTTCAAAACTGCTCTACAACAGAATCCATACTGAGACATCCTTATTTAAGAAAAATACAATTTTTAAAAAATGCATTTAATAATCTTCTGTCATTCACCCTTCATTTAAGTGGTGCCAGCAGTCCCTCTCTCTCTGTCGATTTTATTTGAGTAGAGCAGACCGACTGTGCTCGGGCTTTAAACCTGTGGTGCCTCTCGGGGAGGCGGCCGCACCACTAAATGCGTGATGAAATTATGTTACCGATGGGAAATGGGCCGGAGCTCAGTACCACTCAGCGGGTGCTGCACCCGTGCACAGAAGTGCCTGCCTGAGCAAAGGGGGTGTCAAGACTGCCGCCACTCAAACCCAAGCCTGGGCTTGGAGACTGCTACGACACTCGACGCCCTGCCGCGGGACGTTCCCCCACCAGCGTCCGGTGCACAGAAGCTGCGGAACCACAGCCCCGCTGTTGTACGTGAGCTTACAGCCGGTTCTTGTCTAAGCTAAGCTCCGCGCTGCGCCTTCAGAGTATGAAATGTCAAGGCCTCCCCCCAAGCGTTCAAAGGACAAGGGCAGCGGCCAGGATGATCCCGTAATGGGCCGGGGATGCCGGCGTACTTTCCTCTAAGAATTGCATAATTAAAACAAGGACTCAGCTAGAAGTGGAAGTTTTATTTAATAAATATAATTTTCATAAGCCATTTTTTAAAACAACTGCTACTGACCAAGCTGTACAATAAGCAAGCACCTGGACTCGCTGTCAGAGAATCAAAAATAAGGAGGCGGCCACAGCGTCACAGGTCAAAAAAAAATCTTTGTACTAATCATTGCTACGGTTTCCTGTTGTCAATGCCCCTTATTGGCCTAAAATTAAGGCTCAACACCTTTAAAAAGGTCCTGCTGGCAGAGCTTACATAATTCGTGGGTTTGGTCTTCAAAAAAAAAAAAAAAAAAAGCAGAACTTGCTCACAGTGAAAAAGCAGGAGTCTGGGTGAGTTATTTTTGTATGTGTAGGCCCTGAAATCTCTCCTGGGACCTTAACTGGGAGCTGTAAAAATATATTCATGGCTGCACTAATGAGATCTTACTTACACCCG